CGTTCATTAAAGTGAAGGAAGACTGACATTCCAATGATGACTAACTTTCCTTTTCATTTCATTATGAGATTCGATCGCGACAGTATATTGTAAGGGTTTGTTTTGGAAGTTCATAAACACAGGTAGATGCATCGGTTTATCGTCTATATATCAGATTATTACTACAAAGATGGCCAATTTTTATAATGTTGTCACTGTCAAGAGACCAGTGATAATCCAGGATTTGACTGTTTCCTCTTGGTAGTGCAGTCAGCCTCGATGGTCGAAGTCGTTTCTTCCTGGTCTTGTCGATGTCTCTGCCAGACGCTGAAAAGCGGACACACGGCAACATCTGGTGCACCTCTTATTAATGTCAGTCTGACTCTTCCGCAGGTCATTGGGTCGCCATTCACGAAGATCAAAAGGACGCCCTAAGCTCTTTTTAACCTATGGCGATCTGGAACTACATTGTGTCTCTGAGTCTGTATGTCGAATGGATAGCTTTGAATCACATCGGCTGAATGTTACCTTTAAGAAAAGCTTTTGACATTGGTTGAACCATGTTAAGGGTGTTTTTCTTATCATAAATTCGATCAATCAGTCATTTTACACAAGCAGCTGTCAGCGACTGATCATTTTTGAACATTTTTAATTCGTTCATCAATGTGCTATATCGTTCAATTTCTGCCTGGTAATATCCCAAAACAAGAGCATTAAATCCGAATACTTGGTGGACTTAAAAGGGCTAGAGTTCCAGTACTTCTTATTGAAAGCTTTGTGGCATATGATCCTTAAAGTTGACAATTTTCTGATGTATGATGTCGAAAATTTATTGATCAGTTGTAGTTTTAAGATTTTAGGTTTCCCAAACCCATCGGATTAATTGCAACATGTTGATTGGATGGCAAGAGCAAGTTGAAGCCAACAGTAATCTAAAGATAACTTTAGTGATTTTATATTCATTTCTTTATGGGCTTCGAAGACTTTTGAGGGGTATTCTACTGTCTTCAGTCACTTTTCAGTTGTAGAAAAACAAGTGAAATTTTGATGTGGCTGTACAAGCCACAAGCGCATGAAGCTTAGACCTTATTAATGCAATTTTACGCAGCCTTTCCCTTTCCCTGGCGAAATCCCTTGTGAAACAGTGCCTTTCTGAATGCTGAATACTGGGTTTCTCCTCCTTACCAATTAGGTTTTCACCTCACTGGCGCTTTTCAATGTCTTGATTACTCCGCTGAACGCATTCCCGTGGGTGGTTTGTGGCGCTGTTGATGCGTGGATTTCGTTAAAGCGACTGGACAGTTTTTTCGACCTCAGCGAATGTTCTCCGTTGACATACTACGATAATGAGATTGATGATAAAGGTATATTGTCATAAACATTTTCTGCCCGTCAAGTGTACCATACGTTACTTTCTTGCAGAGAACCTAAACGAAGTTGTGTTGTCGAACATCAGCGCCCAGTGGATTGCAGATCACCCCAGCACAAGTTTGGCTCTTCGTCAGATCAACCTCACGGTCAAGAAGGTAACGGTATTGAATACGAATGGTGGAATGCATTTTATTGCTTGAATATGTGGAATATTGTCATGTGTTTTAGCGTAGAAGAACGACGACAAAAATCGAAACGCGTAGGTACTCGTTAAGCGGTAGGCAAACTTAGTAGTTCCTCACATGATCTATTAGCAAGTGATGATGAGTCTTTCATTATGCGAGCCTTGGCGGGAATGACTGAATGACTGATTTCGTGTCAGTTCTGTCCAACAGTTAGCGTTCGCTGTTTTTGATTTCGCACCAGGATGTCGGGATATAAAAGCAGCACAGCCGGATGAAGTGGATCGTTGCAATTACAAAGAATGCTGTTGCACAAACGTAGGTAAGCTTTTAGTATGCACTATACAAGTTCATTAACAAGAACTTCAAGATGAAAATCCAGCCAATAGATCGTACCAACTTGAGGGCCCGGCACCGAACAGGATGATTAATTTTAAGAAGTTCAGGAAAGATGTTAGAGGGGCATAAGTAAAAAATAGAAAAATTCATCATTTTATGAAAAGGTGCAGAGTAGGTTTTGAAGCCTCCACTTGGATCAGACAAATATGATATTACTCCGTATTTTGCGTTTTATCAGCACTCAGCTTCGCATGTTAAGTTCAAGTCAAAAGTTGGCACAGAATTATCCAAAAGTGTTTCATAGAGTTTACAAGTAGAACATCAGTATAATTAATTTTTGGAAGCAACGTCGCATAGGTACGAAGCTGAATATTTTTTGTATTGTTTATTTGAAAGGCACTTGTCTTAAGTATGCCGCTGCAACGTATCGGACAAACTTTTAATGAAACTGAAACACGTTATTTTGATGGATGAGAAGTAAGTAGTTTTTATTTATAGCTATAGTGATTAGTTAGCGACTTAGTGTTCGTATTCACGAAAAATCGTGAATGATATTTAGCTCAAATGGCAGACAGTAAATAGAAACGAACTTGCCATAAAAGATAAAGTGGAAAACTAGAAGAAAAATTATTATTTGCTTTCGCACGCTCCGGACAGCATTGATATGTCAATCTACGGGGTGATAATGAGCAGAAATAAACACGACAAGCTTCACAGTTGGTATGAAGTGAAATGTGTTCCCACAACTGTGACGTACCGTTTTACTTTATCTATTTCAATGCTCCCATCTGCAATGGAAGTAAGAAACAGAAACCGAAATTTCAGGGTTTAAAATGTTCTAGCCGATGCCCTTCGATCATTGAATGCCATCGGTCATAATCGAACATGTTTGGAATTACCAGTGAAAGGATTAATGCTAACGTGCATTCTATGGCTTCGAAAATACTTGTGCGAAACTCGCAAGCAGTTCTGTGACTTTTGAGGCTAAAAGTTTACTGTTTGAACAAGATTAGCAAAGAATTCTGTTGCTTAGCGGAGGTAAAAGCAAATAAAACTGTGCGCAAAAAATAGCAGTTAAATGTGCGTTTTTGATGCAATGGCTTTAAGCATGGTGTTCGCCTGATAGACCATGGCAAAGATTTTACCACCTGCAGCCATATGTCAATCGTATAACAGTGGTTTTCGTAAGTTAAACATATACACGTGTAAACGTATATAAACGAATCTCATTATAAGAAGTTTCAGAAATCTCAAACTCATTAAATCTGTTATCTCCTCGGCTACAAGTCATGAATGCGAAAGTTGGACCATCAGGAAGCAGAATGCAGGTCCAATTAACTTATTGGTTGAAACATTCGTAACGTGGGTGTTAAAACCACTGTTAAGACATTAAATGCGTGTTAAAATTACTGAACACAGAATCCTTTTGTTTAAAAAACACCAGCGAAGACAAAGTTACTTTTTCTGCGTCATGAAAATGTACGCCAGTTTCATGGAGCAGTAGTTTTTCCCCACAAAGGGGCCAGGTACTGTTCGAACTACGATGACGACAACAACTCAGCGCCTTTAGACCGCACAAGGCATAAAATTTTGCAATGTATTACATATACTGCCAAGTATTATTTACAATTATTATTTATTTTTAATATTACTTGTCAGTCATCTATCATATAGATTAAGGCGAAATGCAGCCACATCTGGTGCTCGCATCAGGCGGCGTGGCCGTATGCTTAATCCATTGTCGCTTGTCCACATAACAGTGCCATGCTGTTTCTGTTATTCAAAATTTATGTACTGACTACCCGTTTTTAAGCTACCTGCGCCGAAGCAGCGTGGGGATAGTTACTTAGTTAAGAAAATTTGCGGTTAAGACAGATTGTTTCTTAAGCGGATTCGAGCCCGGCATCAGAGCCGGCCTGTTTACCACGTCTGTGGCTGTGAAACCACGCCCATCATCATTATGCGGTATTTTCTTACCAATGAATGCGAGTCTGTCGATTCTTTTCAAACAACGAAACTGATTAAATGTAAAAATGTTCATGTGCTTAAGCTGTTTTTCAGTCTGAAATGAATGGTGCCGGCGTATGTTTTCTTATATAAAATACCGTGCTGCCTCGTCTCTGTTGATCTTTGTACTTGTAGGGCGAATTAGTCGGAATCACGGGGCCGGTAGGCGCAGGAAAATCGTCACTCCTCTACGTGTTGCTTGGCGAGATGAACAAATTGACCGGAAAGGTGACGGTCGACAGTTGGAGAAACGGCGTGTCGTTTCTGTCGCAGGACATCTGGCTGCAACACGGAACCGTGCGTGACAACATCGTACTACACAGGCCGTTCGACAGGGAAGCGTTCGAGGCTGTGATCAATGCTTGCGTTTTGGACACAGATATCCAGGTTCGACGATTTGTTAGTGTTTGCTCTGTTAAAACATGATGCGGTGTGTGTCGAGAAGTGTGCAACTTGGATAAACTGCCGTCGAAAATGCGCGCCACTATTCAGAACACCCTCTCAGAGAACAGTTGCTGTAGCGTTTTCTGAAGTTGACTTCTGTTGTGTAAAAATTGAGGAATGTGAAAAAATGACAAGAAAAGCATGAGGAAAAAATAGAAAAGAAAAGATAATTGACAGAAAAGTTAGAAGAAGACACAGAGGAAAAAGGAAGTAAAAGTAGAAGTGGAAGAAAACTAAAGGAAAAGGATGAGGGAAAGAAGATTAAGACGCGGAATGAAAACATTTAGGACAAAAGAATGTTGAAATTAGGGAAGAAGAAAAAGAAAGATAAGGAAAAGATGAACAGAACGACTAGAATAGAAAAAAAATATCGGTGGTAGAATAAGACGGGAATGAATAAAATAAACAGTACCAGGAAAAGTATGAAAAATGGCGATACAGAAAAATAAAAGGTGTAAAAATGACGGTGAAAGCGAGGAAGATGGAAAAGAGAAAGTAAAAGAAAAACACTGTCGTTAGTGCACTGGTGTTCATATTGAAAACAAGCATAAAACAGTTTATTTATCCTAAAGCGAAAACATAGTCATTCATCTCGCTCTACACATGCCAGCGGCGAGGAACAACAGAAATAGGTCCAAAGTCAGTCAGCCTACACCCTTGAGTCACGAACCAAAACGTCGGTACTGCTCAGTCATCCGATTGACCGTTTTTTAGTTGTATGTAAATAAACCGTGTTTTATGGTATTTTGCTGAAGGAGAGGGAGAAAGAGAAAAAGACAAGGAACAATATTAGAAATAGGAATAAGAAGTGTAATTACATCGAGCTATTTTACACAGAGTCGATGCAAATTTGCGTCCATGTTGGATGCTGAGATGTTCGTTTAACAAGATCACATTTCCCCGTCTTGTGGAACCAGTGCGTTTGGTATAGTTATTGGTTATCGCCGTGATTTAATCATGGTCAGTGAACTCTGGTAGACTTTACGAAGTTTTCAATAGTTTTCACTTGCTACTGGCAGATCTGATTAATTTTTTCAGGCAATGCCAAAAGGTGATATGACTGAAATCGGCGAACAAGGCGTGACCCTTAGTG